TCCATCCTCTTTCCCCCCTCCTTTGGCAGGTGATCTAAGGAAGAACCTGGCTGTTGGGAAGGGGTTGTTGGGGCCTGTCTGTGAAGACAGTCAAACAATTCACCATGCACACACATGAGAAATATCTTCTCCTCCACACCCTGCCTTATTAGCTAGTGACACTCAGATTTGTGGTTTCTGCTGTGACGCAGGTCAGCACAGAGAACAGACAGTGGAGGTTGACCATGCCGGGTCAGCTCATTGTTTGAGCCTTTTTGCTCTTCAAAGGAACCGGCATCTCTCCTGAAGCTCTGTTTATATGGGAGCTGTAAACTCCAAACTCACACTGAAGTTGTCCGCCCTAGTCACAACTGATTGAGATGTTAATCACAGATAACATCATTAGCATTAGCTGCTAAGCTATGTTACTGTCAACTTGGCACTCTTGTTCACAGCGCTTAGAGACCAGGAGCTTTTTTGCTTTTATCTACTTTATGCTATTCCACATTTTTTTCCTGGAGCATCTCATAATTATTAAGTTAAGCTATCTGGTAGCCATACCCTGCCCCTTCTGAATGGTTTGCTAGGCTCTCATTCACAAAGAACACCACAAAACATCCACTGCTTATTGCCTTTTCATATTCCTCCACTCTTGGGGGGTCTCTGAAGCAAAGTGAAGAATTGAATGAGCCCTGAAGCATGAACTCCCTTTTCATTGCTTTTTCATTACAGAACATCTCTCTCTCTGTGGATAAAAGAGAGGATTTCTATTTCCAGGATTGGTAGCCAAGTTCCTTCTAGCACCATTGTACTCATGGGACTGTAGATGTACATTCAGGGCTTCACGACATGGTTGTTGTCCCTGCAGGCGTGCTGTGTGTACAATGTGAGTAGAGACAGGAAACTGTAGTAGCTTGGACAAAAAGACACAGCAAAAGAGCTGCTGAAGTACTCGATCAAAACGCTGTCTGAATAGCTCCGTTTCAGAGCTAACAGTACAAAGCAGTATTAAAATGTAGCCCTGAGCAAGGAGCCTCCTACTTTGAATCACACCTGCCTATTTACTTGGAAACGGAAGAAGCATAAAGACGCCCTTTGTGAGATAAAAAGTTTCTAGTGGAAGATGACAAAAAGCATGAATAGAACAAAGGCAAAAATGACGATTCTGAAAGTTGGCTCAGATTTTAGGAGTGATGAAAATCACTGGGAATGCAACAGAAAAAAAAGCACCGGCAACGCCTCCTGCCCGGG